TTTTTTTTTTTTTTTTTTTTTTTTGGTTTTTTGAGACAGGATTCACAATGTAGTGAGACTGACCTGGAACCCACTATGTAGCCCAGGCTGGTCTCGAACTCACAGAGATCATCCTGCCTCAGCCTCCTGAGTGCTGGGATGACAGGCGTGCGCCACCACACCCGGCCCCCCCAAACCTCTTTTCTTTCCAACCACCAGCGTCAGTTATTTTGTTATAGCACCAGAAACTGTATCATCCCTCAGAAAAGCCAGGGCATTTAGCCCAGGTCTCCAAGGTTCCCCTCCTTCTGTGCCCAAGACTCTTGCCCAGTCAGGGGAGCATTGCATGCCAGCATGAACTCCATCCCCAGCTCTTTTTATTTTTTATTTTGAGACAGGGTCTCACTAGCTAAGTGCTCAAGGTGGGCTCAAACTTGCCATCCTCCTGCCTCTGCCTCCCAGAGGCTGGGGATTACAAGCATGCACAACTATGTTGTGCACTACAGCTCTGTGGATTTTTTTTTAATTGAGTTTATTGGTACATTCTAGGTATACAGTATAGTTACATTCATTACTGGGATCTTGTAGCTTTACATGATAGGCCCTGGCTCTCATTTTTTCCCTTTGTTCTGTAGATGTTTTTAATAAACCTCCTTTCTCACAATCCATCTCCACTTATTTTCTTCAGTCTCTGCTCAGCCTACAGGAGGCTGATGGCACACGTCTGTCATCCCAACACTGGGAAGGCTGAGGCAGGAGGATCTCTGTGAGTTCGAGGCCAGCCTGGGTTACATAGTGAGACCCTGACTCAGAAAAATAAGACAAAAATATCCAGGGCTGGGGATTTAGCTCAGTGGTTCCGTCACCTGCCTCGCGAGCACAAGGTCCTGAGTTTGATTCCCGGTACCAAAAAAAAGACAAAAATATCCAAAGAGACCTTCCTATCGGCAGAACCCAACATAATTGAAAGCACGACAAGAAAAGTGCAGATCACAGGATGAGCTCCTGGGAGCAATCATGGATGTGCTGTTGTTTCAAAAAGTTGATTGAGCTATAATATATACATATATGGTTAGCTTCTGTTATGGGGGATCGAACTCGGGTCCTTGTGCTTGCGAGGCAGGCGGCAGAGCCACTGAGCTAAATCCCCGGCTCTGAAGCTGTAATTCACCATTTATTTTCACCACATCGTTTGCCATTCTAGAACCTGTTTCTGAGGGTTTTCGTACGTTCACAGGGTTTTGCAACCACCACACTGATCTAATGTCCCGAGGCCCAGTCCTTTGCATCCAGGGGCCCTGTGTCAACACATTCACCAAACGCAGATCAGAAATATTATGTCCAAGGGGCCGAGGATGTAGCCCAGTGGCACAGCACGTGCCTCTGCACTGCAAGGCCCTGAGTTCGATTCCCGATGCCAAAAAATAGAGAAAGACAATGTCAAGGAATTATATGTACAAACTGGGTGTGGGGCGCACACCTGCCATCCCAGCACTCTGGGAGGCTGAGGCAGGAGGATGGCAAGTGGGAGCCCTGTCTGGGTAACTTGGCAACTTGGGGAGACCCTGTCTCAAAATAAAAATTTAAGAAAGGGCTGGGGATGGAGCTCAGTGCAAAGGCCTCGGGCTCAATCCCAGAACCACGTACAGATGCACAGCAGAGGCGGAGGGGAGGAGAAGAGATTCCACTTTATTAAAGACATTGTAACTACCACTCGTGCTTCCTGGAAGAGCAGATAGGCATTGCTGGTGTGTGCAGCACACCTTGTGGGTGTGTGACCTTGAGTCCTGGCCCACTGGGCTCTGGGTGTGATGTAGAGAGCTGAGTGTCGATCCTGCAGTCCCAGCTCAGGCCGTGAGGTCCTGCGGTTGGATGAAGTTGAGTCTGTCCATCTTCTTAGAGATCTGTGACAATGCCCCTCCCCCCAAGAAGTCCACCCTGGGCCTTCCCAGCCCGGCTGTAGCTTCCTGCTCAAGGTCCCTCCCTCTACCCAAGCCCTGACCACAGAGGGGCTGAGATTTCAGCACGGCCAGGTATGGAGCAGGTGAGCAGAGCCAGCGGAATGGCTGAATGAATTTATGGCTGAAGGAGCAAGCGTCCCTGTGGCTCATTGAGTTGAGTATGGACCAAAGAGTGCCTGGCTAGCAAGGTGTCGAAACTCATGCCTGTTATCTCAGCCCTCTGGGAGGCTGAGGCAGGAGAATCTCAAGTTCCAGCCCAGCTTGGCAACTTTGTGACTTAGCCGGACTCCGTCTCAAAATAGAAAGTACAAAAGGGCTGGGGGTGTGGCTCAGTGTGAAGGCCCTGAGTTTCATCCTCAGTGCTGTTCAAGGCTGGGCAGGATCCAGTGAGGCTCCGATCACCGTGGCCTCACGCGGTTTGGAAGGCAGCCGCAGGCCAGGCAGCGAAGGCTGAAGTGCAGGGTTCGTGGCCAGCGGAAGAGCAGGCGGTGGGCGATTCGCACATACAGGCGACCAGAGGGATCCAGGTCTCTGAGCGCCATCAGTGGGACGTAGCGGGTGTTGGTCTGTCTGCGCAGGGGTGGCCGGGTGGCACCGATGACCTTGACAATGGCCTGTGTGACAGACCTCTGAGTGCTGGGACCTCAAAACTCCCCCACCGCTACATCACTGAGCCCTGGGTCTGGGTTTCTCACCTTGGCCACGTCCCGCGGGCTCTGTCCCATGGAGCGGAAGAGCTGACAGGAGGCCGGGAGGTAGAGGTCTCGGAAGTAGCCCAGGGTCTCAGGGTCGGTGCCCGGGAACTCAGCCACGGACGCCTGAGCCAGCAGCTTCCCCTCAAAGTCAGTGGCCACTGGGCCTGGCTCCACCAGGGAGATGCTGGGAAAGGGGGCCAGGACTGGTGCCCAAATCCACTAATTCCATTTACCCCACCACTGTCCCCCCTCCACCTGTTTTCTGAGGCAGGGTCTCCCTACGTATTCCAGGTTGGCCTTGAACTCACCATGTAGCCCAGGCTGACCTTGATCCTGCAGGGCGATCCTCCTGCCTCAGCCTCCTCGGAGGGCAGGGATGATAGGTGTGCACCACCACGCTGGCCTTGATTCCCCCATCTCAACTTCCCCATCACCATCCCTTGTGTCCCCTCCCTGCCCGACTGTCCAACTCACGAGATGTTGAACTGGAGCAGCTGGATGGCCAGGCTCTCAAAGAACCCCTCCAGTGCAAACTTGGAGGCAGCGTAGACGTCGTTAAACGTGACACCTGCGTGGTCAGCAGGGAAGAGGGTTTTTTGGGGGGAGGCATCAAGGAGGAAAGAGCCAGGAGCATGGATGGCATAGAGTAGCCCCATAATAGCTCGCTATCAGACATCACAAATCGATCACTGCTCTATTTCCTGTTGAACCTCAGGGTCCTAAATCTGGACATCTCAGGAGGACTGTGTCTGGAGGATGTCTGGCGAGGAGTTTCAGGAGAAGGAGTTCTGATAGTTTTCTGGGGTTTGGTGGGGAGAGTATTTGGGGGATGTCCAGAAGTGAGGTTGATTCTGGTGTGTGGTTGTTTATTAATGGCACACAGACCACCACCTCCTGCTCTTATACCACAGCAGGCATAGTTAATCTATCCCCGAGCTTTTTCTTGTCTGAGCTTCAGAGTCCATCTTAACAGAGCTCTCCAGGCTCACGTTGTCAAGGAGCCCAGATCACTTTGCCATTCTGGCACCTTGGGGAGGGTCCAACATGGGGCGAATCCCTCGTGGTGGGTCCCCGGGCCTCACCCTGCAGCCCCATGACACTGCTGACCACCACGATGTGGCCCTTTCTCCTCCTCTTCATGCCCGGAAGCACCGCTTTGACAAGACGCACGGCCCCGAAGAAGTTGGTGTCAAAGACGCTCTGCATGGTGGCGATGCTGAGCCCCTCCAGGGGCCCCACCAGGCCCGTGCCAGCATTATTCACTGATGGGATGGGGAGTGTTACCGTGGAGTCGGCCCAGCCTTTTTATTGTCATCTCTCCAATACCCTACCTGAGTCCTGACTGTCTTGGGAACACAGAGGGAGCCTTTGATTTTGGTTTTTTTGAGACACGATCTTGCTATATAGTTCAAGCCAGCCTTGAACTCACTATGTAGCCCAGGCAGGCCTAAAACTCCTGCTGATCCTCCTGCCTCAGCCTCCCTCCCGAGTGCTGGGATTACGGTTGTGCACCACCACCCCCGGCTACATATGGAGACTTGATGCTGCTTTCACAGAATTTAGCATTTGCTAGAGAGATCCTGAGCCCCGGAGGGAGGACAGGCCGCCAGGAGCAGCACCTCCTGTAATGCATGAGCAATTCAACCCTGACCCCAAATTGCATCAACCCGATGACACCCACCCTTCTCAGAAGCTGGTTAAGGAGTCTGGCTTGCCACTTCATCCTGATCTCCCCCAAGTGACTCACTAAGGCAATTTCTCTACCGCATAGGATTCTCTGTTCATGTGAGAAATCTCTTCCATCAACCCGTCACCCTCAGTAAACTGGTTGCAGTTCTGGTCAACTGGTCGACCCTGTCCTCTGGCCAGCTGGTCTGCCCGGGGACAGAGGTGGCTGGGGAGGTTGGGGGCTGACGCTCAGGCCTCACCCCTTGGCCTCTAGATGTGGACCCATGGGGGGTGGGGGACCCCAGGGCCGCAGCCTCACCCAGCACATCCACGTCCCCGCCCTCGATGTGGCTCAGACACCGGGCCACAGAATCATCATCACACACGTCCAGCTGGGCCACAGTGAGAGTCTTCCCCAGGGCTTCTCCTGCAGCTGCCTCCAGCGTCTCCCTTTTTCTCAGGTCCCTCATAGTGGCCACCACTGGGGACGGAAGCAGAACTGGGGTAAACACGAGATTCCTTTCCCCGGTGTGGTTTTTACGTTTATTTTTATGTTTTATTTTTTTGGAGATAGGGTCTCAATGAGTTCAGGCTGGTCTTGAGCTCACTATACAGCTCAGGCTGGCCACGAACTCACTGAGATCCTCCTGCCTCAGCCTCCTCAGAGCTGGGATTACAAGTGTGCACCCCCCAATATGTATACTTCATGCATGGCTTCAGTGTACATGCCATCTACACGCATGCACATCTCTAGGTTTGTGTGCCCACAACCACCCACACGTACTGGCGGGTTATAGTGACACCCAGTTTCTCAGCCTCCCCAGTTCAAATCCCAGCTCTGCCACTTTCCAACTGGTGACCCCGGGTGAGGATCTCTGTACATCTGTTCCCTCATTTCTAAAATGAGGCAAGCCTGGTGTGATGGTGCACACCTCTGATCATAGCCACTCTGGGAGGCTGAGGCAGGAAGATCTCAAGTTCCAGCCCCACCTGGGTGGCTCAGTAAGACCCTGTCACAAAAGTAAGAGTTTTAAAAAAAGGCCTGGGGATGTAGTTCCCCAGAAAGGCTCTGGGTTCAATCTCTAGTACTCCAGAAAAAGAAAAGAAATTAAAACAAAACAATAAACAACAACAACAAAATCCAAATTACTATTTAGATGGGTTTTGTTGTTGTTGTTGTTGTTGTTTTGAGACACAGTCTCCATATGTAGCCCAGGCTAGCCTCCAACAAATGGTGATCCTTCTGACTCAGCCTACTTTAGCAGTTTTTATGCACCTGTCTTCCCAAAGATGGGACCCAGCTCTGCTGGCTGGGGTTGAGACTCTCACGCTCATCTGTGGGCAGAGGGCCGGAGAAGTAACCCTTCCAACTGGGGCACTGCCCTTGCCCCAGCGGCATCCTATTGAGTAACTAACTGCCCTTGGCCCATTTCCTCTGAGCCCAGACTGGGTCAGGGGTTCCCATGGGGTGCAGTTCTCAGCGATCTACTCCAGGGCTTAAGGACTCACTCGGAGGTCCCTGTAAGCCCTAAGGTCAGAGCCCGTGTAAGAGGTTTATCTGGAGTAGTAATCTGGGGCCCGGAGGCAGCGAGACTGTCAGTGGGTAGTTACTTCACCCTTGGGATACCGACATCAAACCTAGGAGAAATCTTCCTGGATCAGTGCTTCTAAAAATCAGCCCAGGCTGGCCTCAGACTCAGAGGGATCCTCTTGCCTCAGCCTCCCCAGTGCTGGGCTCACAGGTGTGGGCCACCAAGGCAGGCTCAGGCATTCTGGTTTCCACCAAGCCTGGGCCCTCCTCACACGGGTTGGGCAAGCAATCTACCCTTGAGCTGCACCCCCAGCCCTGAGATTTTTCTTTCCGTTCTTCACAGCCGTGGCTCCAGCAACCCGAGCAGAGCCTGAATCCAATATTTGCTGAAGAAAATTTTGAGTCCTAGAGGGGGAGGCGGAAAGGGCAATTCCTCCGGGGGTCCTGGTCCTCCCCAGCCCGTGAGGGAGCTGGCAGGGGTGCTGGGAGCCCTCCCTTCCATCTCCGGGGCCTTTACCCTGGTAGCGCTTCCTGGGGTCCCGAGCCAGCTGCACGGCGAGCTCCAGGCCGAGGCCGGAGGAGCAGCCAGAGATCAGCACGGTCCGGGGCAAGGAGGCCATGTTGATCCTGTCCTGGGCACATGACCTCGGCCAGAGGGAAGGTGTCCGTCACCCCCCCACCCTCCTGCGCTCCTCCGCTCCCTCCTAAGCCCCTCCCCCATCTGCTGTGGGCACAGGGACTCTGGGGTCTGACCTGAACAGGGGACTGGAGAGGAGCCCTTAAGCCCTGACACCCCACCTCCTTCAGCTGTCACCCATTTCTTCTTGGGGGTTGGGGTGCAGCTCAGGGGATCACTCCTCATGCGTGTATCCAGTACTGTGGAACACGAAACTAAAGAAAAAAACCCCAAACTTTTAGCCAGGAGTGGTGACGCACTCCTGTCATCCCAGCACTCTGGAGGCTGAGGCAGGAGGATCGCTGCGAGACCGTAAGACCGGAGAGAACTTCCAGAGAGTCTGGGTTGGGAAGCTTGGGCTCACTGTCCCTGGGAAAGGGGGGTTGGGCTGCTTAGGGTGCTCACTTCTCCCCCTCGGCAGACCGCCCCTCCTTTCAGGGGACACAGGGACTCTTTGTCTAGGCAGGGAGGCTGGGAGGAGGGCGTGGCCTGGTCCTGGGTCCCCACTTGTGCAGCTCAGGGCCGGACATGCCCACTGCTCCGCCCTCTCACCCGCCTGTCTGTGCTTGTCCAGGGACACAGGAGCGGTTCCTGACCCCACAGGACTTCACTCCGGGGAGCACTGGGGCCTCGGCTTCACCCCAGGAGCACTAGAAATCCCCTTCTCTATTTGATGGAAAAGGGTGAAGATTTAGGACTGGGACTAATGTACCCCAGAGTGAGGGAGTTAAGGGCTAGCAAGGCAGGGGGGACCCTTTATCTGAGGAAGAAGAATTTGAGGGAAAGAGTCTGGGCACAGTGGCACGCACCTGTCATCCCTGCACCTGGGAGGCTGAGGCAGGAGGATCGCTATGAGTTCAAGGCCAGCCTGGGCTACATAGTGAGTTCAAGGCCAGGCTGGACTATATGGGGAGATCCTGTCATAAACAAACAAACAAACAACAACAAAAACAAGAAAAGAAACTGTTTTGGAGCCTGTGATCAAAATTTGGGAGTGGTACAATATGGGCAGAGAGATGAAGGGTTAGGATGAAGCTAGAAACCCAATTTGGGGACCTGGGGTGAGGTCTTAAGGGGGGTGAGGACTTGGACTAAGGCACAGGTGGAGGACAGGTGAGGCTGGGTACCTCCCTCTTGGGAAGTAGGAAGGATTTGGTATAAAGCTGTGCTTCTCCCTGACCCCAGACCCTGGATGGAAGCTGAAGGTATTTTTTGTTTTGTTTTGTTTTTTGTATTTTTGAGAGAGGGTCTCCTTATGTAGTCCAGGCTGGCCTTGAACTCAAGGGGATCGTACTGCCTCGGCCTCCCAAGTGCTGGGACGACAGGCGTGCCACTGTGCAGCTCTGGGGAGACTGAAGGTTTAAGTAAAGCTAAGTGCTCCTCCCTGGGCCTGCTAGGAGGAACAGGTTTGGAGCCAGGCTGGGACCCCGATTCTAGGGCAGGGTTGGGGAGCCCCTCTCCTCGGACCTTGTAGGG